TCAGTTTCGATTCTTGACCAGTGGTAATCCTGGACGCCTGCAACTCCACTATTTTGAGCAAAACCACACCACCACGAAAACTTCAAGACCTAAAGCCTTATGTTCTACTTGAAATGCAGGGAATGAAACAATAACGGTAATTGAGATATACAAATTATTACCGCTAGCTGATCGGCTACTTTTCCCGTTGATTGTAGCCAGTATAGGTCTTTAGCAAGCATAGATGACTATCTACAGATTACCCTTTACCAAGTAATTTTCGATATGTGGTGCCTTAATGTCTTTATTTACCTTGGCGTTCATATTGATTTTCTCTTTTTGAAAACTGCAAACTAAACAACGCGATATCAATCAGTACTAAATGACTAACAGTTATGGAAGTTCCTTCGGATGATGTGTTTTTCTGCGAAATACATTTATTTATTTTTTAAAAATTTTACCATAGCTTGATTATGCACAGTATTTTGGTACAAGTATGTAATTTTCGACATGTGATATCGGTAACCCAAATTTAGCAGACTGACCATAGATATCAGGTGTGCGTTGGCCGGGGATTGAACCCCGAACTGTGGGCACGGTGGGCGAGCGTCCTAACCCCTGCGCCCCCGATCAATCATCAGTTTGATGATACGTTTATTAGCGGTTTACAAGGATGTCTGGAACTCAGAGTAGAGAGGTATCTGAAAAACAGTTCATTTAGTTCACATTGACGGTATTCAATATTCTTAATAATAGGGCACTTCGGTCCATTTAAGACAAAAAAATGAGGTTTGAAAGAAACTCGAAGCATTCAAGCGCCATAAAGCAACCGATAAAGACAACTTTTTCCACGCTCTTTTTTTAAGATGGTGTGGCTGTATTTAGGCAGCTGAGGACTAAGTTGTATAGGGAATTGAGAATGCTCTGTTTGTATGGTTTGAGATGTTCATCGCTCTTATCCTGATGAAGAACCTGTGTAATGCATGGGGGAATCCCCTGGGTTACAACGTGTTCCTCAGGCTTTTTAAAACATGTGCAAACCAATAGTTGAAAATTAATCTGATGTTCAGAGTTGACTTCCTGGATACAGTAAATTTCCTGCAGTTCTAGTGAGAAGTTATGACCAGCTGTTTCCATCAAGTCAGGCAAGAGAACAGTTTATTGCTGATGACAGTGGCTAGTGATTGCGCTGTATATCACCAATAGACAAAATCTGGAACTCATAAGTCACTGGACTGGGTTCTAGTGGTTAAATGGTCTACTCAGCTACTTGGGTCTGAACTCCGGTGGACGCAAACTTCTGAAGAGCCCCAAGCCAGATTGAAACAGCTGCCTGTCCAGTACTCTCTGGCTTCTCAGTGACCCTCTAACTGTGTTACATGGAGAGTGACAACTCGAACTGTTGCACATCTTTGCAAAGTTCTATGTTGAAACCAGTCAGTCTCTAACTGATGTCATCCTGTGACCTAACCTTGAAGCACATGAGTATTTGATTCTTAAATGGTAAACTTGATTTCATTCAGTTCTTTGTTGCATCCATCGTGTGTCTAGCACTCGTCATTTGTTAAAAGACCGTCACACGTACTGGAACACAAAAGTCATTTGTTTTTAGAGCTGCTTCTTGATTCAGAGGAATGGAACCGTTCCCAAGGGATTGTCTGTAATTATCTGATGACGTTACAGCGTTGGATGAAGGATATTTTTTGGAGAAGAATTTGACTACGGGTTCATAGCAGATGTGGCTGGAGTAAACGATGACTCATTTGCTTGTGATGTTATCAGAATCATGGAGTCGGTTGTTCAGCGGTAGAACACTCGCCTACCACGCCACACGTGATCTGGAGCCGGATTTCGACCGACGAACTCCTTAATCTCGCTAGGCCGACAGTAAGGCCGGTAAAGAAGGAAGGATGCACTTGAGGCATGCGATTTCACCCGTAGAAATCAAACCTCTGGTTCCAAAACTCCAAAGTTAAACCCTAAAGCCCTGTAAGTAATTCAAAGTAAAGAGGGAAATTACTTCGAATTTCTTGCAAAGTTGCTTACATTTTTCATCCATTTTATTTTATTTCTCTGCTGTGCATGTTATTCCTACATTATTTTATGTGGCGTGTCCCTTGATGTCTACATATTTGTACAAAGCTGTTGTTTCAAGATAAACTACGGAGTAGTCTCAGTTTTTTCTTCAACGGACCATCACCGCCTTCTCCTGTTCTCCTCAGCATTTCTCATTAAATGACTCCAGGATTGCCCCTTGTCCGTCATCTCTTCCATGTCACCACCCTCTGATATCCTACTTATCGTTCCATTCAAAGCTATTCCTGGCACGCCATGTCACTCGACAGTGTCCATTGTGTGCGTGTGTCCGTATCCAATCTATCTCCGTTTTTCTTCTATACATTTGTTGGGCAATAGCTTCTTGGTTGGTTCGCCGCCTGCCAGAATTCCTGACCATTCGGCCTTCAGCAAATGTATCCAATTTGAAAATCTGATTCATCATGATATAAAAGGTCTGATCTCAATCCCAAGTAATGTGGTGAGACCTATCAGCTAGCCAAAATTGGTAGACGTTAATTTATGTCAATGTTTACGTCCTATATCATGGTCATGAAAAAAACAGGGACAAAGATTAACTCAATGACCAATCACAGCTGATTTTGGGTGGGAGGATACGATTCGCAGATATATGGTCTGACCTTCAAAAAACGGCCACATTCAGTGATGAAACAACCAATGAGAAGACAGAGTTTCTCTGCTAAAAATAACGAATAATAATGTACATAAAAATCTATAAATATATCTGTTGATTTTCTCAATAAACGATCTGTTGCCTGGCTGGCCCTTGTCTTCTATCGTTACAATAATGATTCAGATCGTTTCAAATCAAGTACATAATAAATATTTATAAGAAAAACAAGAATCCAGAAAAAATTCTTATCAAAACTATCTTTACACACTCGTCTAGCAGAATACCAGATACCATCAGACAGGTTATTGATTTTATAACATCGTCAATATCATCTGTTATTTTGAAATTTAAATTAAATTACACAGAAATGTGTAGTCAATTAGTAATAATAATAATCCCCACATTCGCACATCTGTTAAAATATATAAAATGTGTAGAATGAGTCATCTACCTATCACATACACACACCATCCTTGTCTACAAAGATATTATGGCCCAACAGATGTTGTAAATCCAGATGAAATCAATTGAAAGGTTAAAAATGTATGTAGAAAACTGAATCTGATTTTAACAAAAACAGCCTTACTAAAATTTTCTGCGCAAGTATGTTTTTTTACAAGTTTTTAAGAGAATCTTTCATTCTCATATAACTATGTAATTGTTCTGTATAGACATTATCATCCCCTGGTTAAAGCAATATTTCGCATTGTCGTCTCTAACTCTATCTATTTTTGTCTGAGCAATAAGTTATTGGGTAGGCCCTCAAAACCGATGAAGTATGTAAATTTTGATTGGTTTGTAGCTGGTTGTGGATTTCTTTCTGTTAAGGACTCGTCAGTGTGTCGTTTCAATAGAATATAAGCAAGTCAAAAGGAAATTTAATGATAACTACGGCAAATAAACTAAATATCCCCATAGTAAATCAAAGGAAAAGGACGTAAACAGCGAAGAAACTTTTCTTTTCGACGATTCATTTTCATGAGCTGTACACTCGTAATTATATTTAACAAAGAAATCATTAGACCAATCAGATACTGGTAAACTTTATCCTAGGAAAATGCACTACGTAATGTTAGGTGTAACCTAGAAAAGATGACTTACTGGAAGAATAGCAGCAGCTCCATCCTCAAACACCTTGTCATCTCGGGGCATAGAGCACACCCGCATGAATGCTTCACAGTGCTACACAGAGTCCCTCAATATCATACAAAGGGATTTAGCAAACGCCATCTGTACATAGCTGAAGCATTAGCTATTCGGGAACTGAAACCTGACCTCTGCGTTCAAAAGTATTACATATATTCATTCGCTCTACTGTGGCCAGAGTGAAGTTCTTATGATAAATTTGCTTCTTTCATTATATAAGTTTATTATTATTGTTATCACTACTATTATTTTACTATCACTATTATTCCTGTCATCCACATTTTATTACCACTCTATTACTGTTTATTAATAACATTGCGTTTTCATACAGATTTTATATAGAAACACTTTATCATCTTTCCAGTAGTTCCTGTCCATTCTGCACGAGCTTATTGATTAGTCATTATCTCACACTTATTACGTCATGCCAACTTCTGTCTCCTTTCTAACTCACAATTAGTCATCCCTTCTTACACCTTACATTATGTAATACAATTTTTCAAGGACAAAGTTTACCAGTATCTGATTGGTCTAATGATTTCTTTGTTAAATATAATTACGAGTGTACAACTCATGAAATCTACTGCAAAGTTAAGCCTGATGGGTGCGTACTGATGAAGAAACCTGAACTAAGACGAAATGGCTGGCTGTTCGGTACTCACTAGTTTTCCAGTGGTTTTCTAAATGATATCAACTCACGATTAAAGTTGTATCCAATCAAATTCCTGATAATTAACGCTGATAAATTAATCTGATGCTCACTAGCGACTGGCTCTACACACTAAGTTACCTGGAGTTCTAGTGCGAAGTCGAGGCCAGCGGGGTCTATCAAGTCATGTAAGGGAACAGTTATTTGCCTGGGACGTTTTAGCTGGTGGTTGCGTTATATATTACGAATAACACTTGGTTAACACTGATCATTGCATTTCAACAAACGCCTCCTTCAAAGTAATCTACAAAGTCAACAAAGGCAATACGGTTTCATCTCCTTTGTATCGCTGAAGCTCTGACCATTCGCATAGAAAAACCGGAGGTGTGCATACGAAAGAAGATTACTCAACCACTTCTACTTTCATGGTAACAATGTTTTGATTTGTTTTGGGTTTTTTTAATTTTTATTTTGATGACTTAATTTTGTTTGTTTGCCTGTTCTTCAATTGCTTATAATTCTTGTATTCACTTAGACCTCTTACATATAACGAATCGGCTGAAGTTGGGATTCATGGGCCATTGGATAGCGTCCTAATGAGTGGGTGGGTACGTACTGCTGGTTCCCGTCTATCGAACAACTTGCTCTTTGGTGCAATCAAAAATCGACAGATATCCCTATCATGTTAACTCCAACTGTATATACAAATTTTACATGTATCTGTGGGAGCAGTTACATTGGAAGAACAGAAAGAAGTTCATATCTACGATTTTCTGAACATGTACCAAAACGCCTATACCTAAAGGGAACAAATGCTTTAAACAGTGCCAGACATCCTCTTGACACGGGTCATAGGGTGGACGTCGAAAAGTCGTTCAAAATCATCAGTAGACAAAAAGTTCAATTCTCATTAAGTTTGATGAAGCCATTTCCATAAAGCGCCTGAAACCTGATTTATGCGTTCAGAAAGGAACAGTTATCAGTCTTTCTTTGCCCTGGTAACTGGATACTTTCATCTCTCTTTCATCTGAATGCGTAATGCTGAAAGTTTCCATTGCTTATGATTATTATTGTTTGGAATAGTGTTTAATATTACACATACATATATGTATGTATATATTATTACTGTATGCATATATTGATCGACTGATGTTTTTGTTTAAAATGAACTCTCTGCAAGTATGTGAAAATTGTTTTTGTAGATATATTTAATAATGTCTTTGGCCTGTAAGCAACTGACGAGAAGGCAACGAAATAAAAGATGGAATCAATTTATTCTGCAAAAACTGTAGTTCTTGCTCTGTTCAAATTCATTAAGCAGAATAAATGTATGAAACTTGTAAATAATCTGATGCTCACTAGCGACTCGCTGTATACACTAAACTACCTAAAGTTCTAGTGAGAAGTCAAGACGAGTGGGGTCTACCAGGTTATGCAAGGGAACAGTTACTCGTCTAGAACGTTTTAGCTGGTGGTTGGGTTATATATTACGAATTCGTAGCAGTTGGAATTCATGGGCCATTGGATCGGCTCCTAGTGACTGGGTGGGTGCGTACTGCTGAACAGCCTTAAACTAGGACAGAACAGCTATTCATTACTCCTTGTTGAATTTCAAATGGTTCTCTAAATGATATCGACTCATTTTCAAACCTGTGAACAATCAAATCCCTGCAAGCCAACGCTTGAAAATTGAACCTTAGGCGCTAAAAACGGCGGAAACACATTAATGATTTTGGAAAGGGCCATAGCTCTGAAAGGTTAATATTTGTCTTCCAACGCTAACTCTAATATATTTGGAACTAACTCTGATATCTCCCTAATTAAGTGAACATGTCTGTAACTTGAAACTAACCTAAAATCAATCATACATACCGTTTACTATCATAACACTCCTTCCTTGATGAGTATAGTGTCATTTTCAATAGTTGGTTTGTAAGGATTAAATTTGTTTCTATGAGTTGATCATGGATTGATATCAGTTAGAGAACCATTGAAAACCAGGGAGTACTGGACAGCTGCTGTTTCATCCTAGTTTGGGAATCATCGGCAGTACGCACCCACCAATGAGGTTCGAATCGTGAACCTTCCGGTCACAAGGCAAGCTGAATCGTATGCCATTCATTCACTGGGACCCGATTCAGTGGCCAGCCCATGAATTCTAACTTTTACCAATTAGTGATTTTAACGTGACCACCAAGTAATGTCATCAGCCAACCAATTTATCCTCACTCCCTATTGGATGGACACCTCAGTGGTCACGATTTCTCACTAGTACTCCAGAAAACACTATCCTGTAGCAATTCACCAGCGAGCATCAGATTAATATTTTTAAAAGTTGGCTGAATGGTTTACGAGCTCGCTAGTCTTATGACCGGAAGGTCCTAGATTCGAACCTCATTGGTGGATGCGTACTGCCGATGAGTACCAATCACTAGGATGAAACAGCTGTCTGACAGTACTCCAATACTGGTTTTCAATGGTTCTTTAAATGAAATCAACTTGTGGTCATACTAAAAAAAATCTAATCCTTACAAAAATCAACTCTTGAAAATTAACACCATGTCTGATACATTTTCATCCGATATTTAGTACTAATCAGGAAATTTGAGATGAAAAGTTTGAGCCTACTGAACAGAAAGAAAAACAGTCTTACAAATGGGTATTACTCAAGCTCATCATATATATATATATATATCACATGATCATAAAGACGAAGTGCCAAGATCAACCGAAAAGGTGTAAACATATACAGTGTGGGTGATTCAGACATAATGCGATTGTAAATATCACTGGTTGACAGTATAATATATGTTGCAAAGGCCAAAATTATAAGGATGAAGTAGTATTTAAACCATAACTATTCCACAAATTCTCCATTTTATAAATTTGAATAGGCAAAGAAAAGACATTTAAAGACGAATAAAACGAATTCACTCTACTTTGATGGTTTCTTATAAGTTCAGTACAACCTATAGTACTGAATACAGTGGGTTTCAATACAGAGGATATGTGAGGTAAGGATATATGGCCCACTATGTATATATACATGAATAATCCTCATACAGACATTAATATTTGCATTTAAAACATACAGTTTCTCTAGTTTCATATGTAAATGTGAATGAAAAAAAATCAAAACTGGATGAAAACCAGTTCAACACTTGGATACTGACAACAAATTTAAAAGAACTGCGTCTAAAATATACCCTCAATATCAGATAGTTGGAGGCAATCGGCCGCGGTTTCGTGCTAGTTAACACTCATCAGCAAGGCGTATCCGCAACGTTGAAGGAACTCATCTCCCTTCTGAGATTCGAACCCGCGTCACCCAGTGCTGCAGTCAGAGACGTTACAACTGAGCTGTTCGGGTGACGTGGGGTCAAATCTCAGAAGGGACATGAGTTCCTTCAAGTTAATTGCAGATTCGCCTAGCTGACTGACTGGTGAGTGCCAACTAGCACGAAACCTAGGTCAATCAAGGCTTCCTGTGGCTGACTGCCTCCAACTATCTAATATAATCAAATCAGTGCACACCGTGATGGCGAGCTAACTAGAATAGTGGCCACATTACAAACCTGACTGATAGAATTCAGTCTGCACCAAAGAAAGGACTAGACACGTCACACTAGTTACTAGTGTCCAATCAATATACCCTCAATGTTTAATTCACTTTCAATGACACCATTTATAGACAAAAAGGAAAATATTGTAATGGGGTCTCCTTGGATCCATTACTATCATACTATTTTATGACTAGTCTTAAGAATGGTTCATCAAAGTCATCCGTTGATTATCTACAACTGTATAAACGCTACGTAGAAGACGTTCCCATCATTTTGACAATAGCTAAGAACCCAATCATTTGCTACAAATATTCAACAACTGCCATTCAGCAATCAAATTTACTCTAGAAATGGAAAACGAGTCCAAAACCCCCTTTCTTAATGTCTAATTAACAAGATTACCCTAAGGAACCTTAAGAAGGTCATTCAACAGAAAACTTACTTGGAACCGTCAACTAACAAATTTAAAAAATTGGGTGCGCCTTGAATGAAAACGAAATCTAATTTAGTCCTTCGCAACTCGGGTCTGATGCATCTGCAGTCCTGAAAGAAACCTTCATCCAAAATGGATACTCACTGGGACTCATCGACAGGAACATCAAACCAAAAGTCCAGAAGAACGAAACATTACTTCTCACAATAAAGAAACTTCACATGAACTTTCATTTCAATGGAGGCTTAGCCTGAAATTCCCTTAAAAGAAAAATCTCACCATCTTTGAGAAGAACATTCTCCACGGCAACGCTAATAGTAGTGATCATCAGTTTTTCACTGGTATGCAGAAGTCTTAAGAACACGATCTAGCATATGAACACATCTATGTGTATTATATCGGTTCACCTGTTGCTGTGGAGCCAGTCAGGTACATTGATCGTTCGACATTTATCCTTTCCATCGATTCGAGAACACTACCCCACACGGTTGCTGCAAAGGTAGTAGTGGCTCTATGATGATTACAATCACCTAATACCTTGTCAACACAAACCATTACATCTCGATGAACATCTGCTTCAAAGTAATCTACAGATTCAGGAACAGCCTACCAGAAGCAATACGCTTTCGTCTTCTTTGTATTGCTGAAGTCTTAGACACTCAGTTGGAAGAAAATCATCCAACCACTTTTAATATCATGGCAACAATCGTGTTGATTTCTACTGACTTGATGTTTATGTGCCTGCTTTTCTAAATCCGTATAGCTCTTGCATTTTTTCACAACTTTCACATAATTCTATATTTTCTTTCGTTTCTAATAAATAATAATAATTTATCCTTCACGTTCCCCAGTGGAACATAGGGCTTCAGGCTAGTGGTTTGAAGTTTCTGTAGCAGTGGTGATTATTTTTACAGGATGGGGTTACTATCCTCATGCCCAACCTTTCCTCTTTACGAGCATTATTTCTGGCTTAGTGAGGTGAAGGAGTGCGCCAGTTGCCGGGGATCGAACTTCAGACCATGTGCATGGTCAGCGAGCGTCCTAACCGCTGCACCACTGACGCACACCTTTCGTTTCTATGTACACCCTGATCAAAACTCATTCATTAAATTATTCATCTTTTTACGCAACTTCTTTCATGCATTGAATAACAATGACAGCCAAGTTTTATTGACAATTCATCACCACTACCCTCATACTAGTCTTCACCCCCACCCCCAGTTACAATTTGATTATTCATTGCACTTTTTGAAATATTTTGATGACGTAAACAACAAGCCTAATAGATTTTTATTATTGTCTGACAAAGCTAATGTACACTGGACAAGCCCTCGAGTAGAATCCGAAAAGAAAGCGGCGAGTTGGTCGTCCAAAGGTGACTTGGAGGAGGTCATGTGAGGAGGAGATGAAAGCATGTGGGCAGACCTGGAGCGGAGTGAAAAAGTTGGCAGAAAACAGAAGGCAATGGAGACGCACAGCTGAAGCCCTATGTTCCTCTAGGAATTAAAGGATATAATAGTAATAATAATCTATAATTACTGCTGTACATCTAGGTGAATGAATTCGCCGAAAAGAGACTCTTCGCTGAACTGCGTGTTTTGCTTTTCGACGGTGAAGTCATCCTTCGACAAATTTGCTAAATGATGAGTGCAAAAGTTAGAACCTACTGAACGATGGCTTAGGAAGCAGCCTCTGAAGGACTCATTTCAACTTAATATATATGTAAAATATTTATGGCCTCCTTCTATGTCACTTTCCTAGTGACAGAAATCCCCCTCCATTAAACTTCAGACATCATCTGTTAACGTGAAAATCTCTTTCTGTTACGAAGACTCGAATTTAAGCGTCTTCTCATATTATTTACCGTGGATATACAATTCGAGTTTGACAGGAAAATTCATTACCCAGTTTACAGAGTGACATTGAGTTGTCCATTGAGTTGTATATCGCCAGACAGGACTTCAGTGTGCGCAAATGATGAAACTGCATCCTCGTATGGATATGTGGATGACCTATTCATTCTACGCAGTGATATGAATCATGCTTAGTATCTATTCGAATTATTGAGCAATGTACATATGACAAAGTCACTTTCATGATGAGAAAAAAGATGGTGGTAGTTTCAACTTCTTGGATATCATCTTGGAGCAGACACCAGTCAGTATACTCAAAAAGA